TTGATAGCCAGGCACCATCAGTTTTCTTCACCACATTTGCTTATACACCTGCTTTGTCTTCAGTGATCATGTAAGGAAGGTGAGCATTATGGGCAAACCGCTTCATTTTTTATGACTTCAACTTTCCTAAATTCATACTTTGTACATTCCATGTTCTTATTATTAATACATGTTGGCACCTGTTTCTTCTCATTGTGTGTCTTGCTTCTATAGAAAATGAAGGTCCCAAAAGATCGACTCCATCCATGTTATTAAGGTCAACCCTCTCTTGAGGGGGCAGCTCTTTCTCAGTTGTATTTTGAGTTGATTCCAACCTGAGACACCAGTTCTCTGGCACTACGTCTGATAATGTTCTGCTGCTATTCATAGTTCTCAGCGGTTAATCCTTCAGAAGTGGACAGCCTATTCCTTCTTGGTCGTGTTCTTATTCTAGAAGCTCTGCTGAAACTTGATATTTGAAGGCTCGGTGACATACTTCCGGCAATGACCACAAGCCACTGCAGTACAACAGGCTGACAAACAAGTAGTAGTGGAAGTGCTTTTTAGAAGAATGAAATTTAACAATGGCTTGAGATTTGCATGTTTTTGAAAATGAAACTGTGAGTTGTGCAGGAATCCTATATGCCATATCAAAAATAGATGGAGACGAATGTGGAGAAAAAAGGAGAGGAAAACAAACCAGGAGCCCGAACTTGCTCGCACAATGGCCACGTGTTCTCTTACTGTTGGGGTTGCATGGAAACCTGATGGCTATATAAACCCTCAATGAAAACACTACATGTATAGGAGCCCTGCTGGTGTAGTATTAGTATGTATTGAGCTGTAATTCATATCGTCAGCAGTTTGAAACCACCAGCAGCTCCTCGGGAGAAAGACTGGGCTTTCTACTCTTATACACAGTTACAGTCTCAGAAACCCACAGCAGGGTTGCTATGAATCAGCATTGACTATGGCAGTGAGTTTTTGAGTGATTGATAGATAGATAATAGATAATTATACAGGATCTAATAAATAATTCCATAAATATATAACATATTAAAAGAGATTACAGTCTTAGAAACCATATGAGTTAGTTGTATTCTGTCCTACAGGGTCGCTGTGCTTTGATTGACTACATGACACCCAGTAACAGCAGCATTTGTCTAAAGGCATTACAATCACTTAAGTAAGCTAATCCTAGGGCAGACTCAAGGGTTTTCTCTGCTTTATAAATAAAAAATAAATTACTTAAGAAAAACAACAACAAAAATAAAACGGAATGGTTTTCAGAAAGGCACCTACTACACACAGGCCCTGAAGTGCTAAGTCGATTACTTCGCATGTGAACATCTTGTAGTCAGAATGATGCAGTTGATGCCTAGCCACTGATAATTTATGGAATGTATAAGTTCTTTAGTAGGGGCACTTCAATTTTAGCATTTCTTGACCTTTGCTGTTTACACTGTTAATTGTCGCTAAATTCCATAGAACAAATTGTATTTAGCTCCACTCCTCTGAGCTCCGAGGCCATCTGTATGCAGACAGCATTGTTATCATGCAGGATTTGCCAGAGTGGTTAGTCAGCAGAGAGGCATTGAATTAAAGCTGATTTATTTCTGAGTGAGTGATCAATTCACTTTCTAAGCTTAGTATCTCTCATTTTGGAAAAATTTAGAAAAACCATTATTGGGACCAAAGGGCGACAAATTTTCCCGTGTAGGAAAACTTAAGTTTTGTGGGCCACAAATTCTTTGTCACTACTGCTGCATCAGCTCTGCTCTCGTAGGGCAATACTAGCCATTTTACTCAAATGAAAATGAGTGCCACAATGGTGTTCCAATAAAACTTTATTTAAAAACAGGAACAATACACCACTCAGTGAGTGCCCTGGTTTGCCTTCTAGATTCTAGTTGGCTTACTCCAATTTAAACTCTAAAAAACGCACGTACCCCACAACTCCAAGTGTGCACCAGCATTTAGCCTCATCTCCTTTTCCTCCACAGGCAGAAGACTGAGCCTGGAAAATATGTATTTGGGAGACAGACACGTTGTACTGAATCCCTTGTGCTGGTGCTGCCATCGGAAAATCTGGTTACAGGCCGGGGAGGCCTGCTCCCGCTGCAGGACTGAACCGCCGCAGCCCTGAGATGAGTGACCGGCCTGGACGGGCGCACCATGAATAGATACACAACCATCAAGCAGCTTGGCGATGGGACCTACGGCTCCGTCTTGCTGGGGAGAAGCATCGAGTCTGGGGAACTGATTGCGATCAAAAAGTGAGTTTTAGCCTTCATCCTCCAGCCTCGCTGCAGAGCGACACCTTGTCCGCAGAGTTTTAGCCCTCCACTCGCCGTGCTCCATCGCTGGGAAATTTCTAAAGCGGAGTGGGCAGTGAGGAAGAACCCAGATGATCGATTCCATAGTGGTGGTGTCCTAAAAAACGTTCTCTCTTTAAATGGTCTCCGTTGCAGATGGCCTTGTGTATTTTTCCAAGGGCCTTTCTCATGCTGTGAGGTGACAATGGGCGATAGAATGAACCTCACTTCACAGGAGAAGAAACTGAGACTCAGAGAAATTAAGTGACTTAATGCAGTGGTCTGGTGGCCACTGGTTTGTTCTCCCTGCCCACCTGCCATTTACAATCTGGGCCCAGGCCCATTGTATTCCTTGTACGATGGGGCTTCAAAACGTTCCCGGTAAAATGGGATGAAAAGATAACGGAAAACTCCCATGAATGCTTGGAAGTACCTTTGTATGTTGCTGCATAACAAATTACCCCCAAATGTAGACCCTTGAAACAATAGACATTTATTTTCTCACAGTTTCTGTAGACTGGGAAACTGGGCAGGGCTTGAATCGGAAGCTGGTTTCCGTGCTTAAAGGTCTCTCTCATGAGCTGTGATTATGGTGTTGGCCGGGGTTTGGGTCACACATATGTTAACACTTTTTTTTAAATATAAAATTTAGCCTGTTATTGGAATAAGCATGCTATCTCTTTCTTTCTTTTCTTGTAGAATGAAAAGAAAGTTTTATTCCTGGGAGGAATGCATGAACCTTCGGGAGGTTAAGGTATTTATTAATACTCTAGGGGATAATTTATGTATTAAAATGGCTTTCTGCATTCTTGGGTTTGTAGCTGGTGCATCTACTCCATTTGAATTGGTTCCTAGATGCCAAAAAGGGGGGCGAAAAAATAACATTATGAATATACTTTTATTAGAAATCCTATAACCTCTCCTTGGCAAACCTTTCCTGAGTCAAAATAAGACACATTCTTCCTGAAAATATGTCTCTGTAAAGTGAGTCAAATGAAGTCTCCTTCCTTGATAGACATCAAACCCACAAATCTCTAGGCAGGGAGTACGGTGCTGTATTAGATGGGGGGGGGGGGTAGGGTGGGAGGGGGCTGTGAATCAGGCTTATACCTGTAGACCTGAAGGCACCTTGCTCCCTGCCTAGAATTCTCTTCCTGAAAAGCTTTAACCTGGCTTCATTTTACTCTGAGTGGCTCTGCACGCAAGCTGCCCGTGCACTGGACTTCTCAGCTGTGGCTGGGAGGCGTTTTAAACACTCAGGAAGAAACAATGGCTGTAGTCAGTGAGCGCCTGGGGAGTACTGACTAGTCCAGCAATGCTTGTGACTATTACTCACGAAGAGCCAGGAATCCAACCCAACTAGAAAGTAAACAGTGGATCATTCTAGAAGGACCTGGCTGTCTTGAAGTTATTTGAGCTTATTCCAAATTCCCAAGCTCTGGCCCAGGGAAGTTCCCTGACTGATCTTGACACCTATTTTTACATGCTCATCTTCAAAACCTTTTTTGTTTGTTTCGGAAAAAGGATGTTCCTTTAAATGACATTCAAAGATACAGAGCTATCTGCCATGCGTGGTGATCAGCCTCCTTCTTGGCAAGGAGAAGGCGCTTCGAATGAAGAGCTTCCCCTGCTGGACAAAGTTGCGGCTTCCTTATACAGAAGGCAATGTGGTCCTGAAAGGATTTGTCTTATGTGCAAAGCAGCACGTGTATTTCTCTGGCCGTCATACATGAGTTAGCCCGCTGCTCACCAGGGCAGGGATCCACTGCTGGCACTACTGATGCACACAGGAAATACTGTGCACAG